TTAGAATGTTACAACTAAGAAAGTTAGAGACTTGATTAACGGAAAATGATAAGGATGAAAGGAAGTCTCTGGATCTACTATCTTCTCCTTTAATCATTTAGCTTCTTCTTCTTCCACAAGTTTCAAAACACACAAAGTCACTCAAAAATGGCTCACAAGCTCACAAATACATTACGGTTTCTGGAACTAGGGTTTGGGACTTGGAGGCTGGAAATGAGGCTAACAAGTAGGGATTAGGATTATTAAATAGAGTGCAAAACCCCAAAAATTATGGTTTCATCCTGGCAGCCCTACTCGTCGAGTCGAGGCTCTCTACTCGTCGAGTGGGTGACTTAAACTTCCTCGTCCATTCTGGTTTCTACTTGACGAATTTGGGGCTCCCAACTCGAAGAGTAGCTCTACAAAAGTGAATAAATTATAATTAAATGTGTACTAGGAACCAGGCGTTACATTACTAGCTACATGCTGACAAAGGCTTGAGGCGCCGACGATGGTGCTGATGTTGGCGCTGGCGCTGGCAGTCAACATATATAGCGTTTAACTCATCATATCATAAGGTGTGACTATAAAATCTCCCATTTCTAATGATTTCAAAACTAATATTCTTTAGAGGAATCATCAAAAGAGCCAGTGTATAATTTATCAGCTTCTTTCAAGATTTTAGGCTTTACCCACCTGAATTCATCGAACTTTGAGTTCTTCTAATATTTTGCTAAGCTCAAGAGAAATCATCAAACATTATCCTGTTTCAAGTTCTAAATGACTAAGTCCTACCATGCGGAGATGAAATAAATGCTCAGTGGGTGCAGCGGGAAGATCATCATAGCGTTGAAAACACATGCGATTTTGACTATCAAGATAAAAAATACCATGTTCTGGTTCTCGAATGAACATGTGCTGAATAGGTTCAACACCTACTAGCATTTTTTTGTTGTTGTAATGAGTGTCATATGGAAGAAGAAACTTAATATTCTTGGACCTCTGGGGGTGACCGTTCTTCCTGAAGTGGATGGTCTAGATGGTCCAACAGATGGCACAAGATTTAACTTCTTGACTTTGTTGAGTAACTTTTGAATGGCTAATTTCACCACTTGAGCATGAATACCTTTATGTTTGCCAATAATTTCCCGAATTTGTATCCACTTGCTGTAGCCAAATTTAACAAGCTCACGAGGGAGTATAACCTCAGTGTATTCATACCCAGTCTTCTTTCTGACAAAGTGAAGCTTCAGTGACTCGTTCCTTGGTTTAGTGCACCTTACCCTGATAATAGGATCATGTTCTGATCTACGAGCTAGAACATCTCCAAACTTCTTTATGTTGATCCTATCATTCAGCTCTGAAATCCTGTGTTGTTTGTCCATATTATTGTTGAACAACTGAATATTCTTGTTTTGAACAGTGGTGCTTTGAACATCAACACTTTTATCAACGTAAGTAAGAGCCTGAGAACATTTAATGGAAAAATGTTCTTCTTTTCTAGCTCGAATAAAGGCATTATTCTCTACATAATTTCTCTAACTTCCTCAACAATTATATCCTATTCTTCAGCTAAAACATTAAAATGAACAATGAGCTTACTTTTCTTGGAAGGAGGAGGTGCTGAAGGATCACAAGTAGCAGAAGAGCTTCCAGCTTCAGTTTTATAGGTTCCCCATGAAAAGGAAGCTTCTGCATTTGAGGATTAAGCTAATCATTGTACAAATCTATGTCACTGTTAGTTCCCTAAGGAATCTTCCCCTTAAAGTATGAATTGGGGTGAAAAGGAATAGCAACTTGTGCCATAAATCTAGGCCTGTCAAATCGGGCCGTCGTGTCGTGTTTTTGTCTGACACGACACGACACGACAAGGTTTTTTGTAACACGAACACGACACAACACGATGTCGTGTTTTTTTTCACTAACACGAAAATGAACTAATTAAAAAACGACAACACGACACGACACGACAAAGATAATATTACATAACTATTATTTTATTTAATTCATATTTAATCATATATAACACGATAAAAACGACAAACACGAAAACACGACAAATACATGCTCAATCGTGTTAATTTCGTGTGGATTTGTAAACACGAACACGACACGACACGACATCGTGTTTTTTAAACTTAACACGAACACGACACGAAAACGAATTCGAATTTTGATTTCGTCCTGATTTCGTTTCGTGTCGTGTATTTTTGTCGTGTCGTGTCATAAATTGACACCCCTACATAAATCTCATATCAAGAAAACCCTTCATAGTCATCAGTCTCTGATTGATCACCATCATCTGAGATAGGCTGATTATCTTTTGTTGCATTAGCGTCTAGAATGTTGCTCTCTTGTCTAGCAACAACAATTTCCTTTTGACTATCAAATGTTGGGCTTGTATTCAAAAATTGTTTCAAAAACATAAACAATGCAACAGAAGACATAAGATTTGAAAAAAAATAAAACTAGTTTTATTCCTACCAAGGATCATTTTTCAAGACTTAGAAAGATTAAAATTACCTTAGTGTAGAAAACATAACAACCTTTGAAGACTTTAATCCTCATAGGAGGTTGGAAGTTGATGAAGATGGAATTAAGCTCTAAATTAAGAGCTATATAGAAGTATTCAAAAAGCACGAAAAAACAACCACATATGCTAGTATAACACTTGTCAAATGTTGTTCTTAAGTTTAAAGGCATGCCAAAATATGTCTAAAGAGAACCAAAAGTTTAACCCTTCACTTGTAGCACCAGATTGCAAAAGACAAGAGGAGAGGGGAAACCGTTTTGCTCTTGGCAATTTAGAGAAAAGAAGAGAAAAAAGTTTTCAAAAAAAAAAACTAACTCCCATGTCTTCCATGCACCGGCTTATATACTAAGATTAAAAGTAAAAGTAGAGCATAAAGCAAAAGTAAAGGCCTTTTCGTACAAGCATGGATTAAATGAATAAACAATTTAACACTTCATGCGACATGTCTTTTAATTATATAACTAGTAACATATAAAAGGCATGGCTTTAAGTATTAAACAATTCATAAAGCATTCTTGTCTCTTTGACTAGATATTGTGTGTGTGTGTGTGTGTGTGTGTGTATATATATATATCAATTTATATAAAAGGCTATCAATTATATAAATTGATTCCAATATATATATATATATATATATATATATATATATATATATATATATATATATATATAACAAATAACTAGTGATGTGTGTGAAACAAACTAGTTTTAATCCTACTAACTTAAACACAAAGACAAACACACGAAAGGCAGTGTACCTATCGATTAGCAGTTTAGTTCAGGTAAGTAGGGTATCGAACACAGGGAACGGTAAACAATTATAATAGATGCTAATATTATCTAAATAAAACAAGTAATAGAAAGAGTTTTCTCTAGTTTTGCAAGACTAGAAACTTAAACAATTAACTAAAACTTAAACTAAGAAACTAAGAGCTAAGCAAATAAAAATCAACTAAATTCAATAATAAAGAGGACTTCTGTTTATGTTCGACTCATTTGTTCCCATGGATGATTTTATGGTAAATATATCGGATTAATTCTTCATTGGTTACCGACTAAAGTGATTAGATTCACATTCGTTATAGCTAATCCTTAGAAAACAGATTAATTCAAGCAATGGCCAGTTGTCTAAATTAATGAATTTCCTAGTTTGTTGATTCGGGTTTAGAAAGACTTGTAATTAGCTAATCAAATTGATGATTCAATTAACCTCTTAGTGATGTTCATCAAACAATCTCACACATTAACTTACCTATCTTCTAGTTAATTCTAGTTTCACATTCGTTATTCCTAGACATACAACTATGTGGTCACAATAAATCATATGAAATTAATAACTAAGAGATGTTGATACAACTTAATTACTAATTTATTAACAGAAGAATAGTTATTGTTAACACATAAGGTTCTTTAACAAGCTTAATAAAACATAATCACCAATTAAAATTAATCCTAATCAAATAATCAATCCATGTTCACAAATCCATCTACGTAAACAGAAGTTATGAGTTTTTAACTCATGATTACAGCAGAAACAAGCTCAAAAACGAAGTCAATTGGTAAAAACATAGTTCAAACAAGAGATTAGGTAAGAGTAAACTTGATTTTGACTTGATTCTCCTTAAAATTGAATGTAGGGTTGATTCCATTGCTTCCCACGCTCCAACAACACCTTTAGTCGACAATTGGCCTCCAAGGGTTCATCTCTATCCTAGGGTATCGATCTGAAAGTCCCTTTATATAGATTTTCACAAAACAGGGGCTACTCGGCGAGTCCATTGACCTACTCGGCGAGTCCATCACTTAAAACCCGTGTACGGCAAGTCAGCGCGTCCAGAATCGCGAAACTTCTGACCAACTCGGCGAGTAATCGGCCCTACTCGCCGAGTACGTTTGGAATCAGCATTTTCTCAAAACACGAAAGTGGTCCCAAATTGTGTCTACGTTTCAGAACATTTTGAATCTCGTCAATCGGAGTTACGGTTCATGCGATATGGCCAAAACACTGACGAGGGGTCAAGCTGTCCAGCAACGTCCTTCTTTCTTCAAAATCCAATATCCAAGCCTCCAATCGCTAGCTCCGCTTCCTTTTCCTTCCGAGCATGTCATTATTGCTGAAAAATGAAATTCTAAACTAATTAAGCATCTTTTGTTCATTAAATGAGATAAAATCAACATAAAGTATTAAGATAATGCATGAAGTTTATAACTAAATATACCCATATCAACTAGTCATATATAAATACCTCTTATATATAAAACTACCTTTTATATAAATAAAACTCTAACAAGTTTATTAAGATATAAATATAAATAACTAATGAATAATCATGCTTTATGATATATGTCATAATTTGTTACTTCTCCAATAAATATTGTTTCCATAAATAATAGATTCCCAATTAGCAAAATATTATTTCAATGAAATAATAATTTTCCTATTATATACAAGTGTTGATGTATTTATTAATAATCAAATTATACTAATAAATAATCAATTGAAGGTAACTTTCTATAAGGTGTGAGCCTATATGGTCATATATTATTAGCAATATCATTCTATAATGACTCTTAGACATACAAAATCTTTCAATCTCCCACTTGCACAAGACTTATCATAGAATGATATAGATAGTAGTGAACATCTATCAAAATTTCACTGCCCCCAATAACTTTTGACAAAGAATTCCAGTCATCAACATCAAATTCCCAAAAGCTCAAAGCCTCAATGGATGTATTAAGGTAAGTTTATCAATTATCCCTTTGTTACAGACATCATATTGAACATGAGCCTTGGATCCCAATCAATCTTATTTGTAATTCAACTTTGGGTAACACGTGTTAGATGTCTAACTCTTAACACATGAGAGGAACCAATCTCATCTTAACTATTTAAGCCTCTTGTATAGTTTATACCATACTCGATAATGGCTTTTATAACCACCCGGTTAAGGGCCAATGTTTGACCATATGAAAGCATAGTACTGGCTATACTTAATCCCTATTATTTATTTCATGTATTAAGGATACAAAGATAGTACCTTTTAATCAAGTGTCACTCATTACTGCGATCTATGAGTTGATCTTGATGTGGGTTTGTTCAGTACTACTTTTCTAACAAGTACCTATGAAACTTGGTTACAAACACTTGCGTACTTTCATATAGTGAGAGTCAACAATCCATTTCATATTAGTCTTTCTTCATAATTGCTCCCACAATTACAACCGACTATAAACTTTTAGAATAATACGATTATTCATGGATTAAACATGTTATATAGAACATAACAAGTATTAATGTGATGATCATATCCCAATATATCAAAACATTATGTCATAATAGTTGTTACAATGTTCCAATATCCAATTACTAAATCCAAACCAAAATCCCATTTCTATAATAATAAAGTCCTATAGTTGAAGTGTGACTGCTCATAATTAGCTTAAAAGGAAAGACTTTATTAATGAGTTTGACTAAATTTAATTCGTGTGAATTTCACGAATACTATCATCTACATATTTAACTTTTACTCTAGGTATAGTTAAATATCTTGGAGAATATGATTGGTTTTCTTTCGTGACATAGAGTCTCTTAACTTGATTAAGTATACTTACAAAGTCATAAGTATTTCTATATGATTCTTGAATAGCAGAAATCAACATAGGTTTTTCAATGAGCTTATTCATCCAATCAAATTTGACTTTAACTTCAAAAGTATTGTATTCTTATTTTGTATTAGATTGAGTCATTATGTTTTTCTTGGATCTCATTCCAAGTAAAATTACGCTTCATTCCACAATGAAGTCATAATCCATTTATAATTCATAATTATCTATATTTGTTGATAAATGAGAATCATATGTAGCTCTTTACATGAAGATGTTATTCTAAACTAATTATATTATATATATTCTCTTAGTTCTTCTTAAGTACTCTTAGAATGTTCTCATAGTCATCTAGTGACTTAACCATGTATTCAACTTTGTATTTCATGATATGGCGTAAATGATGGATTCATTTTCCAAGAAAATAGAATATAAATCATTTCATATATCTCAAACCTATGTACTAGGTCCTTTTGAGACATACTTAAAAAAGTTGTCATGTGACAAATGTTAAGAATCCTCCAAAGGAATCTTGTATCTTGATGTTTTTCAAGATATT